GGATTCTCCACCTTCTCCTAGCATTACAAGGGTATCTCCACCATCATCAAGGTATTTCTTCAAGACTTCAAACTCAGCTGCTGTAAACTTTTCCCTCGGTCCAGCTGTAATCCACAGTTTCATTCCAAATAGTTTCTCAGATGTAATTTCATCTTTTAAGCTGTGAATCTTCCAATTACTCCGGAGTCTTTTCTGCATGGATTTATACCCACTAGTGGTGGTAAAGATCTCCTTTTTGGATGCATTGAAAAGAATGGTGCTCCGAAGCTCTTTCTCCATGGTGTCCTGAGACCCGGCGATGACCATCTTTACCTGACGCCGTCCAGCATCCTGCAGCCAGGTAGCCAAGGGTCACTTAGCAACCGGGCGAGTGCCCAGACGCGCTGGGGAAGGCGTGGTCCGGGACACCGACTCCCGTATCTGATATTTTGAAGACTTGTGGCATAAGATCTATTTTTGAACTAAGAAAATATTTTTATGTTCTTTCTGTCTCCCTCTTCTCCTTGTCCTCCTCCTCCTCCTCCTTCTTCTTCTTCTTTTCTCTCTCTCTCTCTCTCTCCTTTCTGTTGTTAGGTACCATTAGGTTAATCCCATCTCCTAGCCAACATATGAACAAGATTTCTGAATCTTTTCATATTCTCCACCACCCTCATGATCTCTGTCATGCTGAAGTCCATTGTTCTAGTTACTGTGCCAATCCATATAATTGAAGGACTTCTTTTCTTTTTTCAAGCTTGACTTTCTACCATTCCCATCATGATATCTTTCTCCAAGTACTGGTTTCTTCTGATCTTTGTTCAAAGTAAGTGATACGAATTTTCACCATTCTTGCCTCTAAGGAGAAGTCTATTTGCACTTCCTTCAGGACAGATTTATCTGTTCTCTTGGCAGTCCATGGCATATTGATTACTCTTTTCCAATAACCACAATTCAAAGGAATCATTTTTTTTTCTATCATCTTAAGTCCACCTTTCAGATGCAGGTAATTGAAAAGACCATGGCTTGACTAGGTGTGCCTTGGTCTTAAAGCTGATGTCCTTGCTCATTAGAACTTTAAAGAACTTTAACAACAGATTTTCTCAATGAAACATGTCTTTTAATTTTTTTGACAGCTGCAACATGGCTGTTTATTGTGGATCCATGTAAAATTAAATCCTTGACAATATTTTCTGCATTTATCATGATGCAACTGTCCAGTGATGACAATTTTCGTTTTCTTGCTCTTTAAATGTGACCCATACGAAAGGTCTTTGACTGTCTGCCATAAGTGCTTTAAGTCTTCTTTATTTTCTGAAAGCAAAGTTGTTCCTGCATAATTCAAATGGTTGGTGAGCTTTCCCAAAATTCTGTTGCCACATTCTTTTACACATAATGCAACTTGATTTACTCTGCATATATAGCTTGAATGTTACTATCATTAAATGCCGTTGAGTCAAACATGACTCATACTTCCCCTGTGAACAATAGATCTGACCTCTTTCCTATTTTGTATCACCTGAGACCATTTCTGCAGTCTTCACATCAATCCATCTCATCTAGCTTGTTGGCGAAGGAGGTGGAATAGGTCCCTTTCCAAAAAACAACCTCTCCTAACGACATTGCCTCATGTGTGTGAGATGAAGCTTCACCATTCTTGCCTCTAAGAAATACTCTAAGGCTAAACCTTCTCAAAGATATATCTATTGGTCCTTTTAACAGTTCATGAGATGTTCAGTACTCTTCCCCAACACCACACCTCAAAGGCATCAATTCTTCTTCTATCATCCTTGCAATTATTTATTCATTGAAAATATTTTTTTTAAAAAAATGGTAACTATCCACATGAACTTCACATGATGGACTGCACCGAAATCAAGTTGACTACATCTATGTAAAGAATTGAGAGAGAGGTGAGCAGAGTGGCGCAGGGGCCCTTCTTGGGAGACCACCAGATCTCTTCCCTCATCTCACCATGGAAACCTACAGGCAGAGCTGCATGCGGCCAATGTGCATTCCTCCATCCTATGCTGACCTTGGTAAAGCTGCCAGAGATATTTTCAAGAAAGGATTTGGTTTTGGGTTGGTGAAACTAGATGTGAAAACAAAGTCATGCAGTGGAGTGGAATTCTCAATATCTGGTTCATCGAATACAAACACTGGTAAAGTCACTGGGACCTTGGAGACCAAATATAAATGGTGTAGGTATGGGCTGACTTTCACAGAAAAATGGAACAATGATAATACTCTGGAAACAGAAATTGCAATTGAAGACCAGATCTGCCAAGGTTTAAAATTGACATTTGATACTACCTTCTCACCAAACACAGGGGGAAAAAGTGATAACATCAAGTCTTCTTACAAGAGAGAGTGCATAAACCTTGGTTGTGATGTTGACTTTGACTTTGCTGGACCTGCAATCCATGGTTCAGCTGTCTTTGGTTATGACGGCTGCCTCTCTGGGTACCAGATGACCTTCGGCAGTGCCAAATCAAAGCAGACAAGGAATAACTTTGCTGTGGGCTACCAGACCAGGGGCTTCCAGTTACACACTAATGTCAATGATGGGACAGTATTTGGAGGATCAATTTATCAGAAAGTGTGTGAAGATCTTGACACTTCAGTCAACCTGGGTTGGACATCAGGAACCAACTGCACTCGCTTTGGCATTGCTGCTAAATACCAGTTGGATCCCACTGCTTCCATTTCTGCAAAGGTGAACAACTCTAGTTTAATTGGAGTGGGCTATACTCAGACTCTGAGGCCTGGTGTCAAGCTTATTCTGTCAGCTCTGGTAGACGGGAAGAGCATTAATGCTGGAGGCCACAAACTTGGCTTGACCTGGAGTTGGAGGCTTAATCCGGCTGAAGACACCTCTGGGAGCGGATATCAGAAGACTTGGCCTTAATATATTTCCATTGTGACCAGCAGGCTTTCCCCACTCTCCTCACAAAGGTGATCAAACAAAGAATGATCTAAACAAGAGCTGTATTTTAAATATTTAGACAGTTACTTGTTTCTAGTTGAATTGGTTGTCTGTCTAGTTACCAATACTGCAGCCCTGCAGTTGCCTATACATTATCTAAATGTATTTAACTGTTAAATGTGCAACCCACCAATAATGAAATAGATCTTTATGAAAACTGTGCAGTTGTGTGCATGTTGGTTTTGATGTTCTTTTTAGCATTTGGTATTGCCATTAAATGAGACCTTTTAAGATGAGGATAATTTTTTTGTTAAATTCAGCCATCATTAGAAATACCTTTAGTATCCTAGAACAAACAAGTGTACATACTTCAAGGATTTGCCAAGTTAAGAATATGCCAGGTAGGGTCAGATCTCTCTCGTATCTAGCCGGTACATTTTTTCCTGGTGAGCAGTTTGCTGTTTATCTATTATTTGTGTCACTCTCAGTGTCCCCAGAGTGATCATGCACTTTTTTTTTAAGACAACAATAAAACTAAGAGAATATGCCTTTCTACTCTTCAGATTGTAAGTTTGTACGACATTATCATTGTTAACTCTAAAAAAAAAAAAAGAACTGAGAGAGAATCTCAATATCATCAGGTAAAAAACCAGGCCAAGGGCTTTCTGTGGAACAGATCATCAACTACTCATCTGAAAGTTCAAATTGAAGGTGAAGAAAATGAAATTCAAGGCCAAGAAAAAATTAAGTATGACCTTAAGTATATCTCAGCTGAATTTTTTTTCCTTTTTTTATTTCTTTATTTTTCATTTCAATGAACATCTACAGAGATCTTGGAATTCCATTCATTCATTGTTGCAACCCCCCCCCCATTTGCTCCTCTCCTTCAAACGCAAAAGAAAAACTCCCTTATTGATACGCAATCCCCCACACACATCTCCCAACCCCAAATATAATCCACTCTGCAACCCTCATTCCGTACTCTTACGATAAACATAATGCCCTAAAATATAAAATATTCTCTCCCCCAAAGACTTTAATGCCATAAACATATTTCATCCAGTTTCTCTCAGCTGAATTTAAAAACCACCTTAAGAATAGTTTTGTCACATTGAGCACAAAGACCAGACAAGCTGTGGAAGGACATCAGCCCTAAGAATCTCCCGAGAAAATGAAAATTTACACTTAATGTTATATAAAGTGTAGCTTGAGTACCTTATCTTTCAAATTTTAATAATTTCCATTGGAAACTAGAGTTATTTTCCTTACTAAACTAATGTTGTTGTGTACCATTAAGTCAGAACTGACTCATAGCTTATCCTCCAGGGGGTTTTCATAATCTGTAAATCACATCTTTCTCCCAGGGATCGGTTGGTGGATTTGAATCCTGTACCTTTGGGTTGGCAGTGCAATTCCTTACAGCTAAGCCATCATTATGAGCTAGGCTGCTAGTTAAGAGCCCTGTGTTTGGGTCTATTACCTCTCCAGTAAAAATGTACAATCTCTGGAAGCTAAGGGTTATTCTCCTCTATAAATTGAGCTGATTTCAAATTCCACTGGGAGGGATTTCCTGTTTTTAAACTACCCTAGTAATAAACTGAAGGGAATTCTTTATTGAGTAAAATATTCTGTGGTTTCTTTTTATTGGCTTGCTTATGCAATTTTTTTCCTTCACTCAGTGAAGCTACATAAAGAAATTATCTTAACCACTCTTTTCATTGTGTCAGTCTTAAATAATGGCAAATCTCTGTAACTCAGAACTGTGTTAATCTATGACTATTTCCAGCCATTTTAGTCATCATATGTGCTTCTGGATTATTTAATATTATCTATAAATTGGTGGGATTTTTTTTATTTTCCCCAAATTCAAAATGCCAGCCAAGTTTTGCATTAGGTCTCTTGTATTCTCGATATTTATTTTTGTGCTTTAAATGCTGTGCTGGCTCATTTAATAATAGTATTTCCAGCATGTTTAGTATTATTTAAAAGTACAAATAATAATCATAATTAGTAATAAATACAATTCAGAATACATTTGCAACTGTTCAATAATATTTAAGTAATGCTTATTTAAATACTTGGGTTTTGGTCACTTCAGGTGGAGGAGGCCCTGGAAGCTGTCAAAAATGCTACAAATGAGCAAGATCTTGCAAATCGCTTCAAAGAATTTGGAAAAGAAATGGTGAAGCTGAACTATGTAGCAGCAAGAAGACAACAGGTAGGAGAGATTTGTAAGATGCTAGAGTAGACAATGATGAAATATAAATAACTTTGCCTCCCTGTTATCTGTCTCTCTGAATAATTGGTAAATTTATGAGTATAAAGACTTCTTCTTAACTGGCCTGGTTCTAATATAGTGACATATACTAGGGACCTCACTTCTGTAGTCCCTGATGTCTCCGTATAGATCTCGGACCACCAGGCTCACTGGAAAGTAATTGCCAGCCACCACATTACCTTTCCATCTACTGGGGAGCCATTTCCTAGTCAAGTGTCTCCATGGCATGGTACGGTGTTCACTCTCTAGGCAGCATTTTTGGCCCTCACTTCATATGGCCTAGTCCTATGGTAGTTTCCACACATATGCATGCCTAGGAAATTTAGCATGTCCAAGGAAACATTTATGAAAGATAAGGAACTCTTAATGAAATGAGAGGGAAGGCAGGAGCATTAAGGGAAGAGAGAGAGAGAGAGAGAAAGAATGAGAGAACAAGTCATTATGAGCCATTCTGATGAGGTCAGGGACCTGAGTAGATCTTGTTGATCTATTCTTCTACCTAGGAGTTCTTCTTTTTTCAATTTTAGCCAGCTTTATTATTTTATTAGATACCATAGCTGCTTTTTAATGAGATATATTTCTTCAGTTTTTACCCCTAAAAACTACTGTCTCTTTTTTTACAGTTGGTATTATTGTTGCTATTTTTTGTTTCACACTTTGCTTCATTCACATTGTGTTTTACAAAATCATTCCTACACATTGTGTTTTATAACCTTAACCATTAAATTATGCCCACCATTACCCCGTCTTTTCAGGTACCTGCTGGTTCTTTCCTATTTCCTTTAACCCCTCCCTCCACCCACCAAATTTTGTGACCCTATGATTTTTCTCCTGCCCACCCTCATCCCTGTTTCCACTCCTTCCCCGCTTGGATCCTCAGACACGTTATACTAGTTGTTCTTCAGTTTTTACAATAGTGATCTTATGCAATATATGTCCTTATAAGACTCTCATATTTTACTCAGCAGTATGCTCTCCAGTCTCTCCCAAGTTATGTAGTAATTTTTAAAGTTGTTGCTCCTGAAAGCTGCATAGTACTCCACCATGTGAAAAAGTACCACAATTAATCAATGCATTCTATTGTGGTTGGAAATTTGGACTGTTTCTATGTTCTTGTGATTGTGAATAACATTGCTGTGAACACTGGTGTACAAATTTCCATTTGTGTCTACATTCTGATTTCCTTGGAGTCTATTCCTAGCAGTGGAATAGCTGAGTTATATGGAATTTCTATGTCCAAGTTTTTGAAGAAACGCCAAACTGCCTTCCAGAGTGACTATACTATTTTACAATGTCACCAGCAGTGTATGAGAGTTCTTATCACTCCACATCCTCTCCAACATTTATTGCTTGCTGTCCTATTAAACTTTGACACTGCTACTGGAGTGAGATGGTACCTCATTGTGGTTTAGATTTGCACCTTTTGTTGCAGGTTATTTTGAGCATTTCTTCATGCGTCTGTTGGCCATCTCAAGATCTTCCTCTTTGAAAAGTCTTTCTATGTTTGGGGTTTGTTTTGTTTTGTTTCTGAATTCTACTTTGTTATAAATTTGTAAAATTATTTTTTTACAATTATTTTATATTGGTTGGTTTACAAAGTTTGTACACATTGTGTTTCACACTATCCTTCATTCACAAGTGCTTCATACAATCATTCCCCATTCATTATGTTTTATAAAATCAGTCACCATTGAACTATGCTCACCCTGTCTTTCCAGATCCCTGCCAACTCTTTCCTATTTCTTTTACCTCTTCCTCCCTCCACTCACCAAATTTCCATATTGCTTGCTCATTTTATAATTGGGTTTTCAATCTTTTTCCTGTGGAGGCCGTATAACATTCTGTAAACTCTTATTATGAAACCCTTGTCTGAAATTGTATTGATTTTTCTGTTGTTGTGTACTGTAGAGTCAGAACCAACCCATAGTTGACCTTCTGGCTGGTTTTCAGAGGCAATTAATCACAAGGGAGGAGATTGTCCATCCTTCTCCACAGAGCCGCTGGGACCTTTGAACCACATGCCATCAGGATTGCAGCACAGCTTACTGCCACTAGGTCACCAGAGCAGATGTTTTGTTTGGTTTTTCTTTTCCTCAGTCAGTAGGTTTTCTTTTTACCCTGTTGGAAAAAGTTTTTGATGCACACAAGGATTTAATCTTTTGAAGGCCTCACTCATCATTTTTATCTTCTCCTGGTTGTGTATTTCTGGCTGTAATTCTTAGCTTTGTTATACCATAGACTAGGCTTTCTAAGCTTGGTCCTTTGTCTCTTATGATATTTATGGTTTGGGTCTTTACCCATAGTTCTTTGATCCATATTGATTTGATTTTTTGTATATGGTGTGAGGTATAAATCCTGCTTCAGCTTTCTGCAGTTTTGCCAGCACCATTTATTGATAGGTTTTATTTCCTTGTAGAATATCATTCGACCATAGATGGTTTCATTTCTGGGATCTCTATTCCATTTTGTTGGTCTATGTACGAGTTCCATGCTGTTTTAGTTTGTACAGCTGAATAGTAGACTTTGAGATCATGGAGTGCTATGCCTTTCACTTCATTCTTGTTGTTTTAGAAGTGCTTTGCTTATGTGGGGTCTCTTTCCTCTCCATATAAACTTGACAATTGATTTTCTATCTCTTTAAAAAATTAATTTGGTATCTGTATTGGGATTACGTTAAACATGTAAGATTGTCATTTTCACTATATTGAATCTTCCTATCCATGACCACAGAACATTTTTCCATTTATTTAAATCTTTTATTGTTTCTCACAGAGCTGTTTGGTAGTTTCTTTGTAAAGTTCTTTTGTATCTCTAGTTAGGTTTATTCCTAAGTATCTCAATTTGTAGCTGACAATTGTAAATGATGTTGCTATCTTATTTTCCTTCTCTGTGTTTTCTTTGTTTCTAGAGAAAATTCCCACTGACTTTTGGATATTGCTCTTGGCAATACCCAATTCTGGTACTAAATTCGTCTACAAGCTCTAAGGGTGTTTTGTTGTCATTGGCAATATCCAATTCTGGCGCTAAATTCGTCTACAAGCTCTAAAGGTGTTTTGTTGTCATTGCTGTATAGTCGTTGGGATTTTCTGTGTACACTGTCATATTATTTGCATATAGCAACAGTTTCACTACCTCATTTCCCATCCATATGTCTCTTATTTCCTTCTCTTGCCATATTGCCCCAGGAAGTACTTCCAGAATAGTGACAATGGGCATCCTTGTCTGGTCCCTATTTGCAAGGAGAATGCTTTTCATCTTTGCCCATTGGTATTACCTCTTGATTTTTGCATATATACTTTTCACTATGTTGAGGAAATTCCCTTCTGTTCCTATTTTGCTGAGTGTTTTAATCAGGGAGAGATGTTTGATTTTATCAAAGGCCTTTTCTGCATCAGTTGTTAGGATCATGTGATTTTTATTTACTTTGTTAACATGATAAATTTTATTGATTATTTTTCTTATGTTGAACCATCCCTGCATACCTATTACGAATCCCAGTTGGTCATGATGAATTATTTTTTATGTGGTGTTGGATTCTATTGTCTAAGATTTTGTTAAGGATTTTTGCATCTATATTGATCTGGTGGTTATTTGTTGGTTGGTTGTGTTTTTTTTTTCTTTTTTGATAATATATTTGCCTGGTTTTGGTATTAAGGTTATGCTTGCTTCATAGAATGACTCTGGGAGTGTTCCTTCCTTTTCCATTTTTAACTTAAGTAGATATGATGTTAGATCTTCCCTGAATGTTTGGTAGAACTGAGCTGTAAAACCATCTGTCCCAGGACTTTTTTTGTGTGTGTATGTGTGAAGGATTTTTTTTTTTATGACCTTCTCAATTTCTTCTTTTTTGGTGGGTTCTTTTCAAGTGTTCCACTTCTGTCTGTGTCAGTGTAGGTAGGGCATGAGTTTCAAGGAATTTGTCTATTTCCTCTAGGTTGTAAAATTTATAGCTTTCCATAATATTCTAATATTATAGATTTAGTTTCATCTGTAGAACCTTCTGCCTTTGAGTCAACTCAATCTCGTGTAGACCTTCCCTGGGGTATCAATAGCAAGAAATCATAATGGAAAGAGACTTCCCATCTTTTTTTTTCGCTGACTGACTAGTGAATTTGAAATGCTAGCATTTCAAGTTAGCAGCCCAGCATAGAATATCTATGCAACCACCCACAAACAACAACAACAATAATCTTCAAGCGGGGACAGACTGAAACTCATTTCTGTAGAATCTAAATTGACTAATAACTGACCCTTCAGTGGGTTGTTAGAAGGCTTTGAAACTCATGAGAGAAGATTGGCCATCATTATCCTGAGGAACCATTGGTGGGTTTGAATTGTCAGAGACACTCTGCTTTAGGGTTAGCAGTGCGATGCCCTATGGACTACACTACCAGACTTGCTTAAATTCCCTGTCGCCTGTGCTCTGAATTGTTCCCAGAAGCCTTCATCATTTTGACCATTTCATAGCCGTTTTCTCTAAGTTGCTCTATGACCAGCAGGAGACACCTATTTGAGAAACATTTGTTGATGATCCATGCTGTACCAAGCTGGTGTGGTATGGAGGATCATTAAATTGACAGTATCCTATTATATTTATCCTCTCTGAGATTAAACTCATAAATGTGATTACTAAAATGTTTCTTATGTAACTGTCTTGAAATGCTATTGAATGATACACATCCATAGTCTTTTCAATATTTTTATTTAGTGATATAGGTAGCACCAACTTCAGAGGGTATGAGTTTAGGCCTCCCGTAATTGAGAGCTGGCTGGGTGTAGAATTTCTAACTACCTTGCACTTTGTCCTTCAAAAGCTTTATATTCTGTATCTGAGGTTTTATTGTAACACAATTCTAGCTGTGGGAAAACTAAATTTACTTACTAAAGGAGTTCATATCTGTTCATAAAAGGCCACAGTAAAGTGAATGGAACGTCTAAATCAGATGTTGTGTGTTTATGAAGTGCTTCATGACTAGTCCAGAGAATCTTTCAACCCCAGAACTTAGATCATTATCTAAAAGAGAGAGTCCATCTGGATATGTGCTACTTATTTTTCAATTTATGGCTCCAAGTAATATTTATAATTTATAAATTATGTTATCTGGAATAAAGTAATCTGTGTTAATTTTTCAGTAAATTAAAATAAATTATTCAATTTTTTTCAAATAAAGAATGTAGTTATTTTGATACTCATCTGAGAATCATTATGACCCACAATGAGAAGATGCAATTTTTACTGTCAGGTTCTTTATCTATCTCACTCCAAATTAGTAAATAGGAATAAATAGAACCCCAGTCATCAAAAGGCCCCATACAAGTGTTTTAAAGTTGAAAACGTTCTCAAAGAATGCTCAGCTGGCAATCATACCTGCACTCAGAGAACAGTGCTGTCTCAACATCTGTCAAAACTAGGTAAACCTTTTTAAACAATATTATTGGGGGAGGGGGGAAAAAAACCAAAGCACAGATAGTAACTGGTGTTGGTTTAAAATTCAAAACTGAAGCAATATTTGACCTATTTTTTGTTCACTAAATAAAATGACTGAAGGAACTTTAGTGGCACCATAGTTAAGTGCTTGACAAGTAATTGAAAAGTCAGTGGCTTGGATTTCTGTGACACATTAGCCTTTCTGAGTGAAGAAGATTCCACAGTCTACTTGTATAAAGATGATGGTCTTCAGAACCCTATGGAGAAATTCTATTCTGTCCTGCAAGGTTGTCAAGAGGTAAAATCTAATGTATGGCAGTTAATAAACTCACTAGTTCAACTGCCAGGAGAGGAAGCCTTTATTATCCTGAAAATAATAATAAACTGATAAGGAGAAGTTAAGCAAATTTCACTACATAAAAAACCACTACTCTTCATCAGTTGATAAGTGAATCTGTATTCCAAGAAAGCCACCTCTGTTTTTAGCCATCAGTTTCTGAATTCAGCAATATTTAATGAGTGCCTGGTATGGGCAGTCACTGTGTTTATATGTAGTGATGTGCTAGTGAACAAGATTAGTCATAAGTGCAGTGACTGTTGCATAAAAGTGATAAGGAATTGTGCTGTCAATTCTGTTTGTGCTTTGAACCTTGGTTCAAAGTCACCAGATGATCGTTGGGAGAATAATGGGCAGTCTCCTCCTGGGAGATTTGCTGCTTCTAAAATCTCACTGAAGGGTCAGCTGTGGATTGGTTCCAACTTGAGAGTATATAACAAAAACAGCAGTGAACAAGACAGATGGAGCCCTCTGTTCACAATAAAACATACAAAATAGAAAGGAAATGTGCAAACAATTAAATATAATAAAATATGATCAGTTTTAATGGTAGACAAAAAATAAGACCTATGGAAGCAGATAAAAAAGACAGAGCTTTAGCTGTGGGCATTGGATAGAAAGTGGACCTACCAAGAAAAGACATACCAAGTCAATGACCTACTTTGTTTCACTGTTGGGGAAGGGAAGGGAGGGAACATGGTGGAGAGAAACATTCTATGCCCTTTAACATGGAAAGGACAATGTATGACAAGAGCCCTGGCAGGCAGAGAGAGCACAGAGGGAATGGATGGTTGTCAAACCTGGGTTTGCTTCTAAGAGTCTAACTCTAACTAGTACTACTAGAGCTTCCATGACAGATTTCATGCATGTGACAGGGTTTTGTCTTTTGTTTTCACAGGAACTGAAAGACCCTCACTGTCGGGATGAGATGGCAGCTGCCCGAGGGGCTCTGAAGAAGAATGCCACAATGCTGTACACAGCATCCCAGGCTTTTCTCCGCCATCCAGATGTGGCAGCCACAAGAGCCAACCGAGATTATGTGTTCAAGCAAGTCCAAGAGGCCATTGCTGGCATCTCCAATGCTGCTCAAGCTACCTCGCCTACTGATGAAGTCAAAGGCCACACGGGCATCGGCGAGTTGGCTGCAGCTCTGAATGAGTTTGATGTAAGCATGTTGGTAGTATGCACAAAGGGACACATGTTTGCATTTTAAAACAACACAAAAGAAAACAAACAAAAACGCTGCTGAGGGTGAGGGGCTACCATGACAGTATACACTGAGTTTGTTTTTTGCCCCTACCTCTTCATGGAGGTCTTTGATAATAAAATGGACTACACATGTGTACATGTCTTTCAGAAAGCAAAATACTGCCAGATGCTAACCTGTTATTGTTAGGTACCACCAAGTCAGTTCTGTCTACCACACAACAAAGTACTACCTCATCCTTCACCATCGTCACAATCATTGCTATCAGTGAGCCCTTTATGCAGTCATTGTGTTCGTTCATCTCATCATGGGTCTTCCTCTTTACATTGACATACTCTACCTGTAGCAGAATATGGGTCTCTTTACTCTGGTACTAGAATCCTTAAGCAGTTGCTATTAACCCCAAGACTGTGCCTTTCTGGCAATTTGAATCTACCAGAAGTTCCATGAGAGAAAGGTGAGTTATCTCTTCACTTGCAATTTACAACCTTGGAAACCTGAACGATGATCAGGTATGAGGCAATTCAAACTAAAAGGCAATGAAAATCTGCTTTACCAAGCATTACATCCATCTCCAGGGACTAATTTTTCCTGGTAATATGTCCACAGGAAGTCTCACCACCCTCAATGGTAAGGAGCACTCTGACTAATTATTCCAAGACATATTTGCTCATTCTTCTAACAATCCACAGTATATGCAATATTCTTTCCAACTTCATAAGTCACATTAATTTTAATAATGTGCATTACAAGACTATCTCCTAAATTAAACTGAATAGAACATTAGATACAATTTGAAATGCAAAATGATTATATAAAGAATGAAAAGTTTCTTTTAATACATAGTTAAGGAGGGATAGATTGTTTAATAACATTGCAAGACAATTACATTCTAATATTCATAATTCATTTTATAATCAGTGTGATAAGCAACAACAGAGCCAAATGAGAGCGCCTGGGTCGCTCCGCTCAGTGACAGTCTAGACAAGTCCACTGCTGCCACCTTCTGCCCAAGAAAGTGATGTCTCCAACTTCCAACCTGTATCCATGCCGTTTTCATCAAAAGGAGCTTTTTCTCCCTGTAAATTTATAGGTATATTTTTATAAAATATTTTGGGTTCATATATGACAATTCAAAGCTTATATGTAAAACCTATTAATGAAGTATTCTAACATGTTAAACTTTCAATTGTTTTCTTTTATGACTATGATACTTCATATCATGCCAGACAGGTAAGGCTTTATGAATATATCTATCAGTAGTGTTTTTATAAGACAAATTTTTAGCCCAACACAATATATAATGTAAAACATTATTGAGAAGGGTGAGCATTCTCCTCATGTGCAGTCAGCTGCCTCTGAAAACCCACTAGAAGGTCAGCTATGGTACGATTCTAACTCAGTGGTACTCAACAACATAACGTGTGTGTGTGTGTGTAAGTATATATATGTGTGTGTGTGTGTGTGTGTGTGTGTGTGTGTGTGTGTGTGTATGTGTGTATGTTCATATTGATATGTATATGTCTGTGGAGCAGATACATATAAACATGAACTTGAAATAAATATCTGTTGTCAAATTTTGCATATTGAACAAAGTATTATCTAATGTTTACAATTTTATTTTTCAGAAGATGAGGAAAATGCCAACATGTGAATCTTTCTGAAACAGAAATGCAAAGATAAAAATTGTTCCGCTTGGTGCATATAATATATTCTTCAAAATCTAGTGCTGCTATAATACAAATATCACAAATTGATGGCTTTAAAAAGCAGACCTTTATTTTTATTCCTTGTAATTCTTTTTTTTTAATTTTACATTGGTTTACCTACAATTTTTGTATTCATTTCCCCTCACACTGATCCCCAACACCTCCACAACCGACAGCCCCTCCACCTATCAAACTGTGAAACGTCGTTACACCCCCACCCTCTGCTCATTCCCACCTCTCTCTCTGCTTCCCCCCTCCCTCCTTTAGATCCTCATACACATTTTACTAGTTAATCTATTTCTACCAATAATGATCTTATACAGTATTTGTCCTTATGGGACTCAGTTCACTTAGCAAATGTTCTCTAGTCCCTCCCAAGTTAGGTAGTGATTTATAAAATCATTATTCCTGCATGCCGCCTAGTATTCCATTGTGTAAATGTACCTAATTTCTCAATCCATTCAATTGTGGTTGGATATTTGGACTGTTTCCATGACCTTGTGATTGTGAATAATGCTGCTATGAACATTGATGTACAAATCACCATTTGTGCCTCAGTTCTCATTTTCTCAGGTTATATTTCAAGCAGTGTTATAGCGGGGTCATATGGAATTTCTACGTTTATCTCTCTGAGGAAACTTCATACTGACTTCTAAAGTGGTTGTTGTACCAATTTACAATTCCACCAGCAGTGTTCCTTTCTCATCCACATCCTCTCGAACATTTATTACTTGCTTTCCTGTTAAACTTTGCCACTGCTCCTGGAGTAAGATGGTATCTCATTGTGGTTTTTATTTGCATCTCTCTGTGATTTTGAGCATTTCTTCATGTGTCTGTCGGCCATCCCAATATCTTCCTCCGTGAAAAGTCTTTCCAGGTGCCCATTTTATAATTATGTTATCAGTTTTTTTCTTGTAGAGACCCTGTGGGATTCTGTAATCTTTGGATATGATGCCCTTGTCTGAAATGGAATTTCCACATTTTTCCCCCCAATGGAAAAAAATTTTTATGCCCACAGGGATTTAATCTTTAGAATGTCCCATTCATCAATTTTGTTCTCTCTTGAGCTTGATCCCAGTTTGTCTCGGATGAACATCATATGGTATTGGGCTTTAGTCCCAAGTCTTTGATCTACCTTGAGTAGGTTTTTGTGTATGGTGTGAGATGTAGAGCCTGTTGAAGCTTTCTGGAGGTAACAGTCCAGTTTGCCAGCACCATTTGTTGAAGAGGTGGTCATTTCCCCATTTATTAGGTTTTATTTCCTTGTTGAATATTAGTTGACCATAGATAGCTGGGTCTGTTTCTGAGTTTTTAATTCTGTTCTGTTGGTCTGTGAGCCTGTCATTGTACCAGTACCCTGCTGTTTTGGTTACTACTGCCTCCCACTTTATTTTTGTTTTTCAGAAATGCTTTGCTTATTTGGGATCTCTTTCCTCTCCAAATAAACTTGACAATTTCTCCCTCAATCTCCTTGAAAAAGTAATTTGGTATCTGTGTTGAAATTGCATTGAACATATAGATTGCTTTTGGTAGGATTGTCATTTTTACAATATTCATCTTCCTATCCTTGAACAGAGCACATTTTCCCATTTATTTATGTCTGTATTGTATTTCAAGAAATGTTCTGTAACTGTTTTGGTACAGGTATTTTGTGTCTCTAGTTAGATTCACTCTCAAGTATCTCAAATTGTCTTTGGCTATTTAAAGTGGTCTTGCCTACTTGGTTTCCTTCTCTGAATTCTTTGTTACTGTAGAGGAATTTCATAATTATTTTTTATATTGATCTTATATCCTACCACTCTAATAAACCTCTAAGAGTTTTTTGTTGAGTCTTTGGGGTTTTCTGTGTACACTATTATATCTTCTGCATATAACAACGTAACCATCTTCTTGCCTATCAGGGTGCCTTTAATTTCCTTCTCTTCTTGTATTGCCTTAGCAAGTACTTCCAATATAATACTGAATAGAAGTGGCCACAGTGGGCATCCTTGTCTGGTCCCTGTTCACAAAGAAAATGCTTTTACTCTTTCTCTATTGAGCATGATATTGGTTCTTGGTTTTGCATATATACTTTTCACTATGTTGAGAAAATTCCCATCTATTCCAATTTTGCTGAGTATCTTAATCAGGAATGGGTGTTGTATTTTGTCAGATGCCTTTTCTGCATCAATTGCTAAGATCATATCCTTCTTTTTATTTGCTTTGGTAATGTGGTGAATTGCTTTGGTTGTTTTTCTTGTATTAAATCATCCTTGCATAACTCTTTTGAATCTCACTTGATTGTGATGATTTTTTTATGTTTTTGGATTGTATTGGCTGGAATTTTGTTAAGGATTTTTGCATCTGTATTCATGAGAGTTATTGGTCTGTAGTTTTCTTTCTTGGTAATATCTTTTTCTGGTTTTGGTATGATGGTTATGCTCACTTCATAGAATGACTCTGGGAGTGTTCCTTCTTTTTTCTATTTTTTAAAATAAGTAGAATTGATCATAGATATTCTCTGAATTTTTGGTAGAATCCAACTGTGAAGCCATCTGGTTCAGGACTTTTCTTGTGGGGAAATTTTTTTATGAGTCTATTCAAATGTTATTCAACTGTCTGGGTCAATCTGGATAGGAAATGAGTATCAAGGAATTTGCACATTTCCTCTAGGTTTTCATATTTATCTGAGTATAGTTCTTCATAGTATCTCTATATTATTGATTTAATTTCTTCTGATTGTGTTGTTATGTTACGTCTGTCATTTCTTAATTAAGTTATCTTTGTCTTTTTATTTTCTTTTATTAAGTTTGTTAGTGGTTTGTTAATTTTATTGACTCTTGAAAAAACAGCTCCTGGTCTTATTGATGGTTTCAATTGTTTGTCTGTTCTCTGGCTCATTGATTTCTGCTTTTTGTCCTTATCATTTCCTTTCTTCTAAAGTCTACAGATTAGATTATTGTTCTTTTTCTCATTGATAACAGTGTTCAGTTAGACCGTTGATTTTTCTTCTTTCTTCATTTTTTATGTGTGTACCTATTGCTATGAACTGACCAGTGAGGACTGCCTTAACTGCATCCCAGATGTTTTGATGTGTTGTATTTTCATTTTCGTTTGTTTCAAGGAACTTTTTAATTTCATTCTTTATTCCCTTTATAAACCAATCATGTTCTTGCAGAGAGTTATTTACCTTTCACATGAGTGGTTTTGTAAGTTTTTCTTTCCTGTGTTTAATTTCCAGCTTTGTGGCATTGTTGTCTGAGAAGATAT